AGACGAAAATTGTTTATGACCTTAGTTGATGTAGATCCACTTATAAGGCATATGTTAGATTGGAGAAAACGTGTTTTGATAATTAAAGGTGTTACTTGAGGGCTTCTTTTGTCTCCAGGAATACTCAAATTTCACAATAATTCATCGTAATATAAAAGGCAAGCAACATTTTGTTAGATGATGATATGAACCCCAAAAATATCAAATTTTGGTATGGCCAAAATTTTCAAAAAGGATGAACTAGAAGCAAATACCAGCAGAATTGTTGGACATAGTAAGTGAACCAGGTGCTCTCAAATAATACATATAAAATCTTTTTCCTTTCTTTTGCATTGCATGATTCGTATTAGTTTTGTTAATTAATTCATTCAATGCAGTGGCTATGTTCCTCCAGAATATGTTACCAAAGGAATGTAACCTATGAAGGATTATGTTTATAGATTTGAAATTCTACTTCAGCAAATTATAAGTGACAAGAGGAATTCCAGTCTCTTTGGATGCAATGAAAACTTGAATCTTCTCGAATAAGTAACTTTGGCACAACCCTTTTTCCTTTTTGTCGTACAAATATGTGAAAATGTATAATATTGAACAATTCCAGACCTACGAATTGTGGAAATAATGTCGAGGGGCAGAGTTTTTTTATGCATCACTGGATGATTCATCCTATTCGTGTTAGCTCATTAGATGTATACAACTAGCACTGCTATGCGTGTAGGAAATTCCTGCAAATAGACCATCAATCAATGGTGGAAGTTTTTACAATTCCCAGGAATGAAAGTACTGTTGCAATCTCTACCCACTAAGCAGCCTGCCCTTTTCAATTACAAGAGACGAAAAGGTCGAAAGTAAAGACATTGACAGCAAGAAAGTTTTTTTCAGTCAATGATGCTACAACCAACCAAGTGGTACCTCGATGACTGACAGTTTATGCTTTTGGGAAACATTTATGTAAAAGAATTATGGTTTATCAATCTTTAATCATGCAAATATAGATATTAAAGATTGGAGCAAATTGTTGAGTCTAATAGCTTTATTGGAAATTTTCCTGGCTGGGATCGATCCCACCAAAATGATTGAATTTCAAGGAAAAAGGAAATTGATTACAAGCTGAAGTTAGAATAGCTGCATGATTAATCATATTCGTTGGGATGACTATTTTCCGAGACTACATGAGGGTAACTATGATTGGGAAAATTTGGGCTGCCAGGATATGGGCATCTCGTGGGAACACTGGCAAGCAGAATAGGCCTAGTTTCAAATAGGGCTCCTTAAAGTTTAAAGGACAAATTTCAAGAGATGTGGACATTTTATTTAATAATTTTTTACCGCAATATGCAATTATCGCTGAATATGTCTTGCCATGGAACCTAAATGAATAAATTAACTAGAATGATCGTCTAATGAATTACAACACATGCCATAAGCCATTGGTGTCCTGAAGTTGATAAACTTCAAAGGACTTTGGACCCAAGGATGTATTTTACGTAAACGATAGGTGTGTGTTATGATAATCAATTTGAAGCATAAAAGTTAAAATAAGGTAAATTATGTCTGGCTGCATAAAGAAGGCTGCTGCGTGACCTCATTAGTCCCTTTTAACATAATCGTATCAAATCAAAAATGTAACTCCTGATGTTTGTTTCAGACCGTGTGAAAAGGACGCTAAGGAAGCCGTAAACACATAGCAGAAACTTTGGGAAAAAAATATTCTGCCACTTCGAAGCAAACGTTCATTGCACTGATTGAAAGAAACTTCAAGCATCCAAGGTTGAACCATCAAAACAGTGCTTAGACCACGTGAAACTAATCTTAGATGGTACTAATAAAAAAGTCATTTTATTTTATTTAAATTTAATAATTCTTATATTTACGTATTATATAAAATATTAATAATTTAAATATTTATATTATATTTTATAAAAAATTTATATTGATATAAAAATATAAAATATTTTTTTTATTTTATTAATCTTATTTTTATTAAAATTTTAAATTATATTATTTTTATAATTTTATATTATTTTATATAGTATTATTATGTTATATTTTAAATTATAAAATTTAATTTAATTTGTCATGATCAATTCATAAAATCAATATCAAATGCTTGTTCTCTTGCAAAATTTGGAGTTGGAAATATTGGAAAAAGATACGGGTTGGAAGAGATGCCTGACTGTATTTATAATGCTGAAGCTGATATGCTTCGTTACAGTTAAAATGAAAAGTTCTTTCCAATATATATATATAAATGCGTGTTCTCAAGGATGGTCGAAAATGTACGAAACTCCCAGACCTGAAGGCCCTAGAACCACCTGTCAACGCTCATTTCTATTTCAGCCAAAACAGAAGTTGTCATTTTAGCTGGTAACGTCTTATGCCCCCTTCCCTCATTCTCATAATTTAAGAATTTACTTGTCATAGATTAGTTATATAATGATTAAGTTTGAGATAATATAATATTAATTTTAAATTTAAATTTGATTTTAAATTTAAAATTTAAAAATTGATTTAAATTCAATCAAATTTTATTTTTTAAATTAAACTCGATTAAAAATAAAAATTAAATTATTCGAATTTGATTGATTAAATTTGATTAACATAAAAAAATAAATTTAATTTTTATATTCAATAAAAACTTAATTATTTGTGCTCAAGTTTAAAATATTTTATTAATTAAAATATTTTAAAATATAAAAAATTTGATTAAACTCATAAATTATTCGAATCGAATATAAGAATATTTGACTTTAATTCAATTGATAAATCAAGTTATTCAAACTCAAATTCAACTCAATAATAATTGAACCAAATTTAAATTTTATTCGAATCAAATCTAAATAATTTTTAAATACTAATATATCATTTATATTCTTAATCAAGACTCAATTCATAGTATTCTTAATCGTTTCTCATATTAGAAGTATCTTTTTTTTTTAAGGACATCAAACTTATTTTTAAATAGCTCATTAATATTGAATTACTAATGCTTTATTTAATTAAATTATAAGAACTTTATCTTATTTAAATATTTATATTCTTTAACTTAAATGTAAGCAATAACACTTTAAGAAAAAGGTATTTATTAAAGGTTTGTTTGTTCTGAGTTTACTTAAATTTTTTAATTTTTATTTTCTATAAGACATGAGAGGATTTTTTGTTACATAAAAAAATTAGATGTTATTTGGTTAAGTTTAATATCTAAATTTTATCTAATTTTTATTTTGGAAGAAATTTATAAAACTAATTAAATTGGCTACATTTAACAAATTTTAATAATTTTATAGTGACAAATTAAAGTTTAATGACCTATTCAAAAATTAAGTGAAGTTTAATAACTTTTCATGAAGTTATATAGGTTAAAAGGTTATAATTTTAGTATACTTAAATAATTTTAGTGATTTGAATAGGATAAATTAAAGTTTAGTGACTCAAATAAAATTTGAGTATAAATTTGATATCTTTCGATGTAGGTTACTCTAAATATTAAAATTTAAACTAATATTATTTTTAAAATAGGACAGCAATTGACTTGAGTTAATCTTCAAGTAGCAAAGCTTTTTAATACTAATATTATAAACATTGAAGTCACGAGGAGAATAGGTTACAAAAAAGGGAGTCACGTCTAGGGTTGTAAATGATACATTAGTATTCGTAAATTACTTGGATTGGATTCGAAAAAAATTCGAATTCGATTCGATTATTGTCGAATCGAGCTCGAGCTCGAGTAGCTCGACTTATCGATCGAGTCGAATTTGAGTATTTTTATATCTGACTCGAGTAGCTCGCGAGTCTAATCGAGCTTTTATATTTAAATATATTTTTATTATTTTAATTAATAAAATATTTCGAATCCGAGTCCGAGTTCGAGTTCGAGCATGAATAATCAAACTCTTGTCGAGTATATGAATCGAGCTTATTTTTACATATTAATCGAACGAGCTTGAGTAACTCGAATTCAATCACGAATCGAGCTCGAGCTTCAAAAATAAAATTCGATCGAGCTCGAACCGAGTATCGAGTCCCGAATTGTAAGTTGAGCTCGAGCTCGAGCTTCTCACTATTCGACTCGACTCGACTCGTTTACAGCCCTAGTCACGCCTAGTGTTTTCATCTTTTTTTTTTTTTTTTTTTTTGTTTTATGGGAGGCATAGCCTTACATTAAGGAGGAGGGGAGGGGAGAGGCTTGGGTGAACCCAATCTTTATGTTTTCTTAAGGCTTTTTTGACCACTAGGTCAGGAAGTTGAAGACTCGCCTGGTGTTTTCATTCAAGTAAAAAGGTTGGTGTCCACTATGTATAGAGAAGTGCTTACCAGTTCTCAGACGGGAACACTCTGTAATTGAAGTGTTATTGTTAAAGGGTGATGATGTACGGACTTTGAAGAATAATAGTAGTAGGAAGGCGTCATTCCCAGCTGGTAAAAGGATCCAATTATCAGCCATCCAGTTTCCATGGCATCCAAAACTATCTTGATCTTTCTTTTCATTTTATTCCTTTCTTCTCAATTGCAATTCACAGAAGCACAAACTTGGGTTAAAGCAGTAACGGTGAATTTCCCATACAAGACATAAATTCTGCCTTGTTCACTCATCTTTCATGCGCTTTTGCTGAAGTGAACACTTCAACTTATCAGCTTTTTGTCCCCTCTGTCTCTGAACAATACTTCTCAACCTTTGCAAGCATCGTCAAGCGTAAAAACCCGTCTGTTAAAACACTGGTGTCTGTCTGAAATGGAATCTCTGCAACAGGAAAATCTATCACTGGTGAAAAAGTTAATGACTCAGTTTTATCTTCAATGATCTCAGAATCTTCTAGAAGGAAGTCTTTCATTGACCCTCAATAAAAACAGCTAGGCGTTATGGTTTTGATGGAATAGACTTGTGCTGGGTTTGGCCTAACAGCACAGACTTGTTCAATATTGGGGGTTTATTGGATGAGTGGCGAGCTGCCATAAATTCAGAACCAGGAAAACCAAGTCAGTCACAATTGATCTTAACAATGGGGGTTCGTTACTTGCCAACAATTGAAATGGTAAGTTATCCAATCGACTCCATAAGTAGGAATGTTGATTGGGCGCATGTTGTGGCATATGACTACCATTTGCCTACCAGGGAGAATTTTACAGGAGTCCATGCTGCTTTGCATAATCCCTCTAGTCATGTTAACACAGATTTTGGCATCAGGGAATGGTTGAATAAAGGATTTCCACCAACCAAACTGGTTTTGGGATTGCCTTACCATGGATGGGCATGGAAATTGGTGAGCAGCAAAGATAATGCTATTGGTGCACCAGCGTCAGGTCCAGCTATCACCATTGATGGTTCTATGGGCTACAAAACCATCAAATCATACATTCAGGATAATGGTTATGGAGCTGCTTCTGTATACAATGCAACTTATGTAGTGAACTTGTTCACGTCTCCAACACTTTCGATCAATTTTGATGGTGTAGAGGTGGTCAAAGCAAAAATTTCCTATGCAAAGGAGAAAAGGCTTATTGGTTTTAAAGCGTTTCATCTTTCAAATGATGAGAATTGGGCTCTATCGCGGGCAGGTAGGTTCTAAATTTCCTTTAATGCTTTCAGGCATGTGATAATTTCAATTTGGCAACCCTCTCTAATCCCTTAAGGCATGAGGCTGACTCAAATGCGGCAAGATTTTGGTCTAAGAAGTATACAACATCTGGCAAGAGCAAATCATTTGTATCAACAAAATTAGACGAGCAGGAATTTCTTTTCTCTGGCATCTAAGCAGATTTTGTGTTTCACTTGGTATATTAAGAACTCTGCATCAGAGAACTAGTATTTTTGCAGCTTAAAATATTTCGTAACTTTCTCAGATCAATCTTACAGAACTCAAACAAGACAATATAGATACTGAAAACTTTACCAATTTTGAGGACAGATTCTAATTAACATGCTAAACTACATTGCCAGCTCAAGAGGAAGATAATCAGGAAAACAACAAGCGGCTGTTACTTAAAATGATCCTTCCAGTTTCTGTAGTTGTTATACTGGCAGCTGCTATGCTGTATTACTTGCGAAGGAGAAAGGTCAAATCAAAATGTAACTCTACCTTCAACCATGAGAAAAGGAATTGAAGCAAATATTTAAATTGTTAACAAGTCATAAAAGGAAACACTTTTTGGTGTTCCTTGTGCATTTTT